TTTCTTTGGAGAGCTAGCATCCCTCTGCATCCCCCCCCACCCCTTGTTGTTTATAGGGACATCTAAATGTAAAGGGAAAGCAATAAACCTAGCACAGCCAAATAGAAATAGAAGAATCCCAAACATCTCTTCTTTTGTATAAATTCTTTAGATACAAAAGATTGTCATAAAATTTCTGGGTAGTTTTCAAAGTTGAAACATTTAACCTTCAATTACTAAGAAAGGAATAATGATTAGTACCATTTATGTATCAGATGCTGAATTAAGTGCTTTACATAGAATACCCCTGTGAGGTAGGAATTACAAATAATTATTCTCAGTTTTACAAAGAGAGAAATAGAGAGGCTGTATAAATTATTCAAGATTATAAAACCAAAATGGAGTAGGGTTGAAATTTGAAACCAAGTCCATTTAACAGCAAAGTTCATGTTTCCTTCCTACTATAATAGTCTGCTTCAGGGAACTAATATGATAGACGCATGTATAAATTAAAGTTAACCAAAGTTTTCATCTCATAGCAGTTTTTTAACTTCCATTCTACTAGTACAGAGTGCACTTTATATTTCAATTTGCAAAAGCCATTTTTATCTGTTATAGAACCTGACGAAGAATATATAATACATGGGTGAGCAAAAGTATGTTTACAGTTCTGAGTATGTGAAACACAGGGTTTATTCTTATGTTATTATTTATTAATTATTATACTTATTTGTATAAAAACCATAAATGTACATTGCTCACACCTGTATGTAAACATTAATTGTGATTATCCCAATTTTATGAATATGCTTTTATAGGGCATGCATACATTATTTTTTGTATCTACTTTCTATTATAACCATGTTTAAATCTGAACCAAGAAGACTTTGAATAAACAATACTAGGAGGGAACCAAGAAGACTTGAAGTAAATTGTTCAGTATTGGAGCTGCCTGCGGTGGCCATACCAGTTGAGGCAAACAAGAAGGTCACAATAATAATTAACAATTAAAGTTAAAAGCTGGGAAATTCAATGTCCATAAGGGCTTCAAAAGCTCCGACATGTTCCTGGAAATCTATAAGGCTACCCATATATATGTAGTACTGTTTGTATGACCAAGAAAGATCTGAAAAGATGTTAAGCTCCCACCTTAAGACTCTGAGCAGGCAGGAGGTGAAGGCTAAGGCTGAGATGCAGGCTGCCTGCCTCAGCTGAAAATGTGCTCTGAGGTGAACACAGAGCCCCTCAGCAAAGGCTGGGAGACTTACTGGGTAGAATAACTTAAGGAAGTCTCTAATAATTCTCTGACCATTATGCTAACTAAACAGTAGTCAACTTGACAATTATATAGGTTTAGTTCAGAAAAGTCACTAAACAAATAAATATTATCAACCACGACAACAACAAACAGTGACAAAAACCCTGGGGAGGAGGGCAGAATCTGGTTTCCAGAGTTTCTATATTATATTATTTTAAGAAGTTTGGTTTTCAGCAATAACAGCACCAACAACAACAAAACTATGAGCTGTTGGACTTACTAGACAAAGACTTTAAATGAGCAGTTTAGGTATGTTCAAAGAACTAAAGGAAACAGTGGCTATGGAAATAAAGAAAAGTATGTCTAAAGAACTAAAGGAATGATGCCTCACCAAATACAGAACATCATTAGAGAGACAAAAATTATAAAAATAAATGAAATAGAAATTATGAACTTGAATGTGTAATTATTAAAATAAAAAGTTCACTGGAGGGGCTCAACAGTACATGAGCTGGCAAAAGAAAGATCATCAAATAAAAAGATGGGTCAACTGAAATTATCCTGTTTGAGAAGCAGAAGGAAATAAGAATGGATAAAAATGAACGAAGCCTAAACAACCTTTAGGATACCATCAACTTTAACAAACACAGACAGTGAGAATCCCAGGAGAGGAGAGAGAGAAAGGGGCACAAAGACTATTTAGAAAAATAATGGATGAAGACTTCTAAAATTTGAGTAAAATCATATATCTATATATCCAAGAAGCTCAATTAACTCCAAGTACTAAAAAAGAAATCCCCATTTAGATATAGCATAATCAAATTCTCAAAAGACAAAGACAGAGAACCTTAATAGATACAAGACAGATGCAATTCATAAACTGGATATAAACAAAATTAAAAAGTTATGTGCTTCAAAGACATTACCAAGAAAGTGAAAGGTAAGTGCATAGAATGGGAGAAAATATGTGCAAATCCTGTATCTAATAAGGAACTTTTATTGAGAATATATAAAGAATTCTATAGTTCAACAATTAAAGCTGACTTAATTAAAAAAATGGGCAAAGGATTTGGGTAGACACTTCCAAAGAAGACATACGAATGATTAACAGACACATGAAAAGATGTGCATCATCATTATGAAATGATAATCAAAATTACAGTAAGACACCACTTCACGTCCCCTAAGAAAGCTATGATCAAAGAGTAACAATAACTGTTTCCAAGGACATGGAGAAACTGGAACTGTCGCACATTGCTGAGGGGAATGTAAAATGGGGCAGATGCTTTGCAGGACATTTCTGCAGTTCCTAAAAATGCTAGACAGACTTATTATATGACCCAGAAAAATGACTCCAAAGTATATATCCAAAAGAATTGAAAACAGGCACTCAATCAAATACTTGCATATGAATGTTTATAACACCATTATTCATAAGAGTCAAAAAGTGGAAATAACCCTAATGTCCATTAACTGATGAATTGATAAATAAAATGTAGTATATTCATACAATGAATACTATTCAGCCTTAAAAAGGAATGAAGTACTGACACATGCTACAACATGAATGAATTGTGAAAACATTATGCTAAATGAGAGAAGCCAAAAAAAAAGAAATGAATAAGCCAGTCACAAAGGGCCATGTAGTATATGATTCCATTTTTTATGACATGTCTAGAATAAATAAATCCATATAGATGTAAAGTAGATTAAGGTTTGCAAGGGGCTGGGGAGAGATGGTGAGTGACTAGTAACAAATATGGAGTTTATTTTGGGGGGCACTGATAAAATAATCTAAAATTAGATAGTGGTGATATTCATAATTTTGTAAATATACTAAAAACTACTGATTTTATACTTTAAAAGGGTGAAATTTATGGTTTGTGAATTATATTTTAATTTAAAAAAAAACATATCCTGTGGTGTCATAAAGACCTGAGGTTCAATTTTGATAGCTGAATATCTCTGCTAGCTGTGTAAACTAGTAATTCCTTTCTGGGTTTAGTTTCATGTTCCTGTTATAAAATAGGAATAATCATACTTAGTTATAGATTCCCCTGAAAATTAAGTGACATAACTATATTTTAAAAATCCAGCATATTTTTAAGCAGACACCAAATACTCCTATTATTAATTCTCTCATACCTTTATTTTTACTGAATTTTCAAACTACCAACTCAGTCTTATCTTACAATTTCTATGCCTATTCACTTCTCCCTTCATTATATGACATTACAGTGTCCTAAAAACTGCTCATTTGCCAAAAGATCTCTCTCTAGTCTGAAGAAGAGAACTAATGTTTTTTTTGTTATGAAGAGAACACATTTTAATATTTGAAAAGAAGAAAATTATGAAATAAGTTTTTATACAGAATTGTTGAACTTCAAAATTTCAAGCTATCTAACAGGTAATTTAGAACAACTTTTAGCAGATGGGTTCTTGTACCAAAATCTATCAGATGGTAGTAATATCATTTGCTGGAATAGTGTTTGAGAACATAACTCCTAGTGTTTGAGAACATAACTCTTCTAGAGAGGCCTAGCCCACTTTTTGGAAAAATGCAATGCAGATATTTCTTTACTAGAACAGGTTCTTATTCTCATTATATCTCTTAGGATACTTTGAAATGTTATTAAATATTTAATATATGTATATATTCGTGTAGCTGTTTTCCTTGGTTTAACACGTAAATTTCTGGGGGTGGAGACTGTAATTACCAAAACTGTTTTGAATTCAATCACAATCCGTGTCATGTTTATACGTGTCTTTAATGCACACAATTAGATCATGATGGAAAAATGTGAAAACATGGATGCCCCTGTATATTTGGGAACATGGAAAATCACAGAAGGTGCAAAAGGGGGGAAATTGTGAATTTTTGCAAAAAACACCTAGTTACAAAAATGTCTAGCTAGCTACTGCTTAACATATATTAAAATGATTTGGAAATGTTTTGTCATTAAAAAGTTACTATTTAAAAGTTATAGGCTATACTATTAAATTTATTAAGGTATTTAAAAACTGTATATCCATACTAATATTATAATTTCATGAAAATAGATAAGATATTATAGTAATATTAGAATATTTGAGATATATGAATTATTTTTATAGGTGAAAGTTTAGTTGACCATATTTATAAAGCCCTATGTTTAGAATAAAAATGTTGAAAAATCTGAACTGTAGTTTTCCAAAATGCTATTTCTTTTGTCAATCAACAGTCAGTAAGTGTTCATTCTAATTCTATTAACAACTCTTGGGCCTAGCTTAGTGGACTGAGCACCGGCCTGTGATACAAAGGGTCATTGGTTTGATTCCCAGTCAGGGCACATGCCTGGGCTGTGGGCCAGGTCCCCAATGGGGGCACATGAGAGGCAACCACACATTATTTCTCCCTCCCTTCCATCTCGAAAATAAGTAAACAAAATCTTAAAAAAATAACTCTTAGTCTTTCTCTATTTTTATAATTCTTTCTTTGCTTCTGTAATTCTCTCAGTATATAACAAGTTGACATAAAAACAGATACTGCAATTGCAGAGGAAAAAAGTGAAACTTGTTACTTGAAGGGATATGTCAAAACAATCTTCCTAACTGTATAACCAAAAAGACACAAAGATTTTCTGAAATACTGGCATGAATAAAATCATATATTAGAAAATAGCTTCATCAAAAGGACCTATGCAATATTATTGGAAGCAATAATGATACTAGAGTGTACTAATTTTAATATACATCTTTTAGAGGTTGTAAATCAAATACATACCAGATCTGTTTTTGGAGTATCTGGATACTCAGAGAAATAAGGTGTTGAACCTCTGACTCCACTGTTATCAGACGCTGGCTTGGGAGGCTGAGCATGCTGTCTGTAAGTAGCACTTTTAGGAGTCCAACAAAACAGGTTGATTGATTCTCGCACACAGCGTTCGATGTCAATTTCTAGATTGAAAATTGGAAGATATATAGAATTTGGATTGCTGTGTTTATGAAAAAAGCACAATCTTTCCTAACTGCATATATTCACACATGGCTATGATAACTAATTAGAAAAAATTTCAGCAAAAAAATAGTATAGATATTAATTAACATGTTTATGACTGAGATAGTAAAGGTATTTTGTATTATTATGCACATATATACTCACATACACTTACATATTTAAATACACATACATATCTATATTTTAGTATTATCAACATACATACATACATACCTATATGCATATATTTGCATATTTCAGAAAGTAATTATTTAAACATCATGGATATAACACAGTTCCCATTTAAGAATCTGCCTCATTTATTCTGATAATGTTTTCACTTTTTCAAAGTAAAATAGTGGTTGGGGTAGGAGGCAAGGCTGGAATTTGGGGGTGGCTGGGAAAAGATTCAGAAGCTGATTCATCATGACTTCTAGTATAATGTACTAAAAGTTTAATTTCCATCTATCAAAGAAGATATAAAGTAATGAGGAAAAAATTTATTGAGATCTCAATTCAGTATTTCTTTTTAAAAAATAATATGTTGAGTGAAGTGCAGAAAGGTTTAGGTGAAAAAGATAAACTTGATTAAATAAAACATTTTCATAGAATATTTCCTTTCCTTTTCCAGATTCAAAATTTAAGCATCTTTGAAACAGGTAATATATATAGGAATGTTGTTCCAATTTCAAATTTTGGTTGGGTGTTATGATGGCACTGTAGTGCTTTAGGAGGTCATTATTCTTGATGAAGAGTAAGCCAGTCCTGTATGGGGAAAGTGTAAAGATCATGGAAAGGCAGTGGAAGTTCAGTCAGTAAATTGATTAGGATGAAAAAGGTTAGCATGGACTAGCTTTGCCCTTTCTATATTCCTAACATTAGTAAATGACTGATATTCTCAATTCCTCTGAAAAAGTACAAGTGTTAAGTGTTAGCTTAGAGAGACAGTGTAGAAAAACATACTGCATGTTTTAAATTTCAAAGAGATGTTCCTAACTTCCCTTTTTGAAATGAGAAGCTTATATATAAAGGGGAAAAAGAAATAGTCATTTAAGTCGACTCTCTGGGTGGTGCAGGAGTCATGTATTTAGTGCTGTCTGCTTTCTGTAAGGTGGAAAATCCTTGCATAAAAGAAGGGAAGCACACACTTAATGAGCATCTATTATGTGCCAGACAATGTATACTTCCTCTTAGTTTATTTAATTCTTACAATGATTCTTGTAGGCAAGTATTACAATCCTCCCCATTTCTGTTGAAGATGAAGAGACTACGACATAAGAAAGCTCAGTGATTTAATATGTTAAGTGTTATAAGTAGAAAATGTCTGAAGTTATTGAAGGGTTATACATCTTTTATTTCCCAGTTCATCTAAATTTTGAGTATGGCCAGCAGGTCTGGAAAGGCCAGTTACTTAGTTAAGCATTTCCTTATCTGCTATTTGTGAGGTTTGCCAGCTTCACAGTTGGTTACTTCCATGGCTAAACAAAGAGGTGGTATTTCACCACCCCATATGCTCACAGGAGTGTCCAACTGCAGCAGCTCAGGATGACTATGAATACGGTCCAACACAAAATCATAAATTTGCTTAGAATATAATGAGATGTGTTTTGTGGTTACATGTCACAATGCATTTATTGTCTGGCTCAAGACAATTCTTCTTCCAGTGTGTCCTAGAGACGCCAAAAGGTTGGACAGCGTTGGCTCACTATTCCTAACATACTATCTTTAAAAAAAGCACAGTTTAACATGTTTTCAGACATGGGTCTATTTATTTGAGCAATGGCCAATACAGTGAAACATATTTTTTAAAAAGCTCTATTATCTATTTCATATTCCACAGAAAGAACACAGACATCAATAGAAGAAAAATCTAAGTTTGAGACCGATTTCCCTATTCCATTTAAGAAGAGATATGCTTACTTCATTTTAGAAAATTTCAAATTAATATGGGTAAGATAAAAGTTTCCAGCTAAAGAGAAAAAACTGTCATCTTAAAAAAGTCAACCCATTTAACACTGTTTAATCTCCAAAAAAACAAACAGAATTTCAGGTGACAGATTTTGTATCTGCAGTGCCCCAATCAGTTGGACACATCTGGCACTTAGTAAATGCTTGAAGTCAAGTCAGTGTCCCGACCAGAGGTCGTAGCTCAGTCCTCAAACCACTGGCAAAGGACATTTGCACCTGCCTGCGAACCCCCCTCATAATACCACAAAAGATTTACAGTGAATTTTGAGAATTTACTGGCACTCACCCCAATTCCACCCTGATTATTAGTACTGGCAGATACCCCATTCTCCACTCACTTACCCCACATCACCTCTCTCTCAGAATCTTTCTGAAGCACTTTATCATAACCAAAATATTATGCGAAAGTACTTTGTAAACTGTACATTAAATATACAATTATTCTTAAAAATTACTTATCCTACAGCACTACTGTTTTCTATCTTTCATTGTAATTTTGATACAATGCATTGTGAATAAAGCATTTACCCTGGATTATGGTTTCCCAGGTATAATTCCAAAGTCCTTGAAGTACTTTGTGACGCTGATAGAAATAATGTCTCTAAATCTGTTTCTTTATCCTCATCCATTTCCAACCTATCTCTCAAAAATAGTGAGCTATTTTCAAAATGATAAAAATGTCATATTTCCTTTGAATGAGAATAGGTGAAAAAGGCACCTCTCCTGAAGCCCTTTGCTCTCGTTTTAATGGCTATGAATTGTTTCCTAGATTCAGTGAACAGTTCCTGTCTACCTCTCTCTGCCACATCTAATTCCCTTTGGATCTCCTCTGTGTTTGAATTCTAACTTTGTTGGGATATTATTGTTTCTTCATTCACCCCATAATTTTGGTGGAACACATTTTCCAGTAACTTCTAAGAAGGAGTGCATAGAAGGCAAATTATTTTGGAATCTTCCAATCTTTTTTAATACATTTATTTAGCCCCTGGCTGATAATTGGACTATCCATAGTATTGTAGGGTTGAATGTGAGTTATGAAATACAGTGCTCCATTACTGTCTTCTGAGAAGTCTGATACAATTCTGATTTGAGGTTATTTGTATGTGATTTTCCCCTTTTCTGTATACTTTTAAGATCCTTGGTGCTCTGATATTTCATGATACACATACATGTGTACAAGTTCATTGTCATAGGCATTTAATGGCCCTTTTTGTAATTCTTCAGGGGCAGAAAAGGTTGTGTGATGTCTGTGATAATTTATTTCTGGCTGTTCTCTTCCCTCTTGTTCTACTACAAGAAACTTGAATATACTGAATTGAATTTCTAATAACTTTGCCTTTCCATTTTACTTTCCATGTGTATTTTTGTCCTATTCTCTGAGAGACTTCCTAATCTTTATCATTCACTCTTTCATTATAAAGGCCATTGAATTCCCACATCATTTTTAATACTCAATAAATCATTTTTTGTTCTTTGCTATATAAAAATTCTAATTTTTTCATAGCTGTAATATCTTCTCATAATTATGTTTCTGAGGATACTTCTTATTCAGTTTGTGCTGGTCTAAGTCTTTTAGTGGAAGTCTTTCCTTACAAGTTTGGTGATCTATATTTAAAAGAACATTAAAAATCATAATTAAAGTTTTATGTATGTGGGTGGGGCTTGGTGACTGGTGGATTCACTACAGGGAAAACTGGGGATGTGATGATTTGTTGGGGAACAACCTAAAAAAGGTATTTTCCTTCTAGGGATATTCCATCACTCCAGGGAATAATTCCTGACCTATCTAAATGAATCCTTGCCAGCATCCTAGGAATTGACCATGGATGGACCTGGGGTTTGAAACTATTCATCCCTCACTTCTGCTCTATGCTGTGCTCTTGACTCTAGGTCTCAAGACTCTCTGATTCTATTATTTGAAAGAATACCCTGCCAAATTTACTATTGCCTCTGATCATGTTTTTGTAAAATTTGCAAAAGTAAAGATATCTAAGCCATAATCAGTGAAGACTGTTGTCTTTATTTATAACAATTTTTCCTCCATTATACTTCTTATACTGGGCAACATTACAATGGCTGTGGACACTTTGACATATAAGAATACGCTAAGTTAGGTGTTGGGGTCTGCCCTGCCTGGTCTCAGGAAGCTATAACGCCCCATGGCTAAGGCTGAGTAAGAGACCTCCAGAGCAGGAGCCACTAAGGAGACAAAACTTATTTCCCTGGCATGAACGCTGCCTGTTCTGTGCCTGGCCTCCAATACTTGATCAGTTAGCCAATGATGGGTAAGATTTCCCACGGAGGGAATCATCTAAGACAGGCATGATCACGTAGAGGCCTCAGGGAAGGACTTGGGGGGCTGTGGAAATGAAGGGGTGATCGACATCAACCCCTGCCCCCTCAGCTTTGTCAAAGCCTGAGTCCTTTTTCTTAGCTGTGAGAAATCCAAGTCTCCCGGCTGCCTTTGTCTCCTCTGCCCAACTCAGGCCTGCAGAAATAACAGGGGCAGTGCATTCCAGACTAGAGTCAGCAGACCCCCAGAGTAATCAGGCCTGGGACATAGAATATGAAAAATCCTGTGAGATCTGCTTGCTGGAGGATGCTCTTGAATTAGAATATGAAGGCATGGGCAGGAAACGAAACTAGCCTTTTAGGTCCTATAGTCTTTTTAAGTGATAAAACCCCAAACTCTGTCCAGAATCCCAGCGAGAGATCTACCAGCACCTTTGAAAGCTATCTATTCCTTTTGATCTTCCTTGCCAGACTATAATCCACAAACTGTGTCTGTATTTTTAATAAAAGCCTGCTCAGGCAGTGACTCAGGGCGCTCTGCACTAGAGAGAGTGGCTGTTTTGTCCCTATTTCTCCACAGGACTCGGTTGTCCCTGTGTATGTTTTTCTTGTGTTTCGACGAGCCATCCGCAGCGTTCCGAGGTCACTGCAGGCTGGTGGCCGAGTCAGTTAGGGATGTATTTCATTTGATTTCATGTGA